CACTTCCAAATCTGATATCATGTAATGCTACAAATAGAGGGACCAGAATTTAGGAGTCCTGAAGTTCCTGCCTCTGTCACTTATAACCAATGTGAATTTGGGCAAACTACTTAGCTTCTCTGACCCTCATTTTCTTCATCTATAATATGAAGGGTTTTGAATAGATGGTTTCTAAAGTTTCTTCTAACTCTAAATCAATGAAAAGTACAAATAGAAAGAGTTGGAAGGAAAGAGGAAGAGTATCAATCAAAAGAAGACAATAAAATGTGGGACCAAGAGTCAAAAAGTCAAAGATTAGACAAAAATTCAGAACGTAAGTTAGGGAGTAAATCCAGCTTACTCATTTTTCAAAAGAAAATGAGACCCAGAGCTATTAAGTTGCTTGTCCAAGATTACTTAAATAAATATTGAGTAAAATGAAACTGTGGTTTGGCAATTATGTGGAGGGAAGAAGAAAGAAAGGGCACTATTGCTTTTTCAACAGTATCTCTTAATATCACTAACTGCTTACTGGATATAACATTGTTTTTGGTGCCATATGTTTTTGGGCCACTCTCCCTCCCTCTCCACTGACTTGCCCTCCTAAAGGGATGATTCTGCCTTGAGGTCTGCTCTCCTGATTGGTGAATCCTGGCTTGAGATTTTGCCATTTCTTCAGAGGCTCCAGCCATGCAACTAACTTCACTTACAACTCATCTCACTCTCTGGACTGCTCCTCTTCCCTATCAACTGTCTTGTCCTATACAGGTATTCTCCTTCTACTGGACTCCTTTTCCAGCTCCTCTTTATGTTTTGCCTGCCACTATTAGAATGTAAGCTTTTTGAGGTTAAGGTCATCTAGTTTTCTTCTACTTGTATTCCCAGCACTTAGCACAACATCCGTCACATAGTAAACACTTAAATGCTCTATCTATCTCTATCCATGTTATCTACCTATATTCATTGAATTCTAATCAACATGTTGCTCTGCGTTGAACATCACTAAAGAGGTAAAGGTAGAGAGGGTCTTAAACATGATTGAACTTCTGCAAAACCTTTTTTCTTTTGCTGAAAAACTTCTCTAGAAGAGAAGAGAAGACTTAGTGGGAGGGCATGATTATGGCTGCTTAAGTATTTGTAAAGTAGATATGTAAAGCAAAGATTTGACTTGTTCTGTTTGGTCCCAGAGGACAGAACTAAGAACAAAGGGTCAACAGTGTAAAGAGGCAGATTTTGACTCAATATAAGGAAAAACTTCAGAACAATGAAAGGCTCCTTTCTCATTGGACCTAAGTGGATCCAACTTTACTGCCAAGCAGTGAGTTCTGTATTGATAGAGATATTTAAGCTTCAACTGGGTAACTGATTGATGAGGATCTTATAGATGGAATTTCTTATCAGATATATGCAGGAATGGATGATGCTGAGATCTCTCTCACTTTTCTAGTTCCATGAAATCATTGGAAAGTATAACTAGGAAACACAAAATGTACAAAATATTATGAATATCAAAGGGAGCAAAATCCTTTTTCATTACAACATCTCCTAGAATAGTCAATACCCATTTTAGCTAATGTTTTTGTTCTTTTAAAATGTATTGATATCTACTGTTGTATCAACTTAATTTTGAATTTATCTCCTCCAAACTCCACCTAGAGAACTATCCCTTAGAGCAAAGACTAAAAAAGAAAGAGTAAAAAAGGGATTCAGTGAAACTAACCAATGTGTCCATTGAATTGAACATTAACAGTGTTTCACATTCATAGTTCTAGATAATTGCAAAGAGGGTAGGGATGCGCATTCTCATATCTCTCTCTCTCTCTTTTTTTTTTACCAATCCTGATCACTAAAATTACATTAGATTATGTTTAAATTTTTAAATTCTTTGCTCTTTTTATATAACATAATCTTACCAGTAAGGGGATTTTAATTTTAATTTTTCATTTTTGGTGAGAATATATTTGCTTTATGTTACTGGATATAGCAATGCCAGACAATTCCATTTCATTAGCTTAGGTGAACACAAAATGACTCCTTTTTCATGTTGCTGATCTGTCCTATCTTCCCAAAGTGTATCTAAAAAGATCAATATTAGACACTCCTAGAGTGAATGCTTCTAATGGTGCTTCCATTGTCAAGTCACTTTGGTGTCATCACAACCAGTGAGGTAAATTGATTGAACTAATGTTGTTAACAAGGGAGATGACCTTTTTCCCATTCCTAGACTGCCTTCAGACAATATATTAAAAATAAGGAAATCCAGAATCTCTGGATTGGTTTCTCAATTGGCCTTCAAATTGTCACTATAGAGTTGATTGTATTGGCTCTCTTTGTGGAAAAGTAGTCTATCTTTGGGGAGGGAGTAGTTACTTGCCTCGATTTTCCTTTAGTCTTTATTTGTGTTCTCTTGTGCTTGGTGAAACTGTGAAGGATGCTTGTGTATTTGGCTGTGCTCCAAACTGTCTGAGGTATTAGGCACAGAGAACACCAAAAGGCTGGGCAGTGATGACTGTATTGCAAAATCAATATCAGCTACAAACTTGGTAATACCTACAGATCCCTTATTCATTCACTTAGGTAAGCCTGGTAGAAGGCAAGGACTTAGGCAGCTAGAGGTTTCAGGACTCATATTTGAAAAGAATGCTTTTGCAGTAAATTAAAATGATTACCTATTATTCATGGATAAGAAGCTTTAAATACTAATTTTTAAGCCTTTAAATATTTTGGGGGATTTGTTTTCCCATTTTGGAAGCTGTTTCTGGCTTTTCAGGTGAAAAACCACACCTATTTTATTTATTTTATAAGGTTCCAATAAGCTTGTCCATTGGAATGTTCTGAGTATTCATTCAACATGCATTGATTGAGTGGCCAGCATGGGTAGGCACTTTGCTGGGGATACATAGCCAGAAATAAAATAGGCTCAGCTCTCAAGAAGATTGGTAGGAGGCAACATGTTATATAGCTAAAGAAATATAAAGTAATTTCTTGGGGGTAGGGGGAGAGGAGGGAAATAGTCATTGAACAAACCAAGATAGGCTCACAAAGACAGTGGTGACACCTGAGTTGAACATTAAAGAAAGCTAGAATTCTATAAATTAATGATGAGGATGGAATACATTCTAGCCATGGGATACAGCTTAGGGAAGGGGAAGGGAATAAGCATTTAGGTGGAGGTTACAATAGACTAGGAACTATGTTAAATGCTTTTACAAATATTATTTCACAGATAGAAGATGAAAAATAGTTTATTTGGGAGTAGCAAGTAGACCAGTTTGACTCAAATGTAGAGTTCATGAAGGGAAGGTAATAAACTTGGAAAGGTAGACTGGAGTCAGACTGTAAAGAATTTTAAATGCCAAAGAGAAGAGTTTTGTATTTTGCCCTACAGGCAAGAGGGATAGAAGGGCCTGGGTTATTGTGGAGGGGAAGACTGAATCAAGTGTTGAACCTGAGAAAGGAGGGAAAGAACCTGTTGTAGTTATAGTTGTAGACAGCTGCCAGTTTGGTAAGGGTGATATATCTGGATGGCACAAACTACCAAGGAAAGTTTGCTGAGTGATGATGGCAGAATGAGGACATGGAAATGGAAGTGGGGAAGAAAGGGTATGTTTACTACTCTTGCTCTAGCATGTCAAGGTACATAAAAGATTCCTAGAGAGAAAAATGAAGGTTGAAATGTCTTCTCAGAGAAGTCAGGCCTTCATGAATGCCAGAATATAGAAGGAATGGAGGAAAATGTCTTGGATGAAGTTTATTAACAATAGAATGGAGTTACAGAAGGTATTAGAATCCATTTGTTTCCATTCAACAAACATAAAGTACTGACTATGCACAAAGACCTGTTACAGATACTGGAGATAAAAATACAAAAGCAAAATAGACCCTGCCTTCCAGGAGCTTATATTTAGTCTATGACTTCCTCTTGTTCTCAGCAGGCTCAGGTGCAGGTGAAAGGATGGCAACTGGAAACATTCTTCAGATTGCTAGTAGGGATATAACAAAAAGTATTTGTTGAACTGCTTAGTAGCTAATGGGTGATCTAGTCCTTCCTTGTAGTGGTGCCATTTTTCTCTTGAAAGTCTTTCTCTTCACCATTAGTGTCCATAGGGAAAACGAAAACAGGGCATTGTGTAGTTTATTTAGACCCTCCAGAAGAAATGCACAAATGAACGCTATTTCAATGATATGTGAGAATGCATATAGAAGGGCCAAGGTGGACACGTGAGCCAAATATTACAAATCAGGTTCAATTCTCCCAGAACATATAGGTGCAGTTAGTACCTGGGGAATCTTCTTTCTCCAAATATAGAGCTGTCAGTGATGCGTACATGGAATCTCAGGAGGTACTGTTTAGATTTTTCTTTCCTATGGCGGGCCACATTTGCTCATTGATCCTCTTATCCTTCACCTAACAGATGAGGTATTTGAATTTGTCTCGGAGTTGAGAGACAGCATGGACAGAAGAAAGAGACAGCTAGGTGGTGCCATAGTATACAGAGTACTAGGCCTGGAGTTAGGAAGACTTGAGCTCAAATCTGGCCTCAAATACTTACTAGCTGTTTGACCCTGGGCAAGTCACTTAATTGTCTCAGTTTCTTCATGTGGGTAACAATAAGTACCTATCTCCTAGGGTTGTTGTGAGGATTAGATGAGATAATAATAGTGCTTAGCATAGCACCTGACAGAGAGTAAGTGCTATATAAATGTTGGTTATTATTATTATTATTATTATTGTTATTGTTATTGTTGTTATTATTGAAGAGCTCCATTCCTGGATTCAGTATATCCCAAGATGAAGTCTTATCTGTGACACATGTTAGTTAAATAACAATGGGCAAGTCATTTAACTCTCAATGTCTCCAGACAACTCTCTAACACCATAAGTTATAAATGAGCTGCCGATATGTATCAGAAAAAGGATTTTCCATACCAAGAAACACCCCACAGTGATGAAATCACAGGTCTGGATGAAAGAATAAAAATGTCCTTTGGGATTGCCTATTAATGGCAATAGGCAGTTCTCAAGCTCTTCCTAGAACTTTTTTCAAGGCTTCCTTCATCTCCTCATTTCGGAGGCTGTAAATAAGGGGATTGAAGAGAGGGGTCATCACAGAGTAGAACAGAGTAGTGAATTTCTGCATCCCCTCTGCTCGTCCTGAGCCTGGACTCACATATGTCATCATGACAGAGCCATAAAACAGAAGAACCACAACCAGATGTGAAGAGCAGGTGGAGAAGGCCTTCTGCCGTCCTGAGACTGAGGGTACTCCTAGTACAGCTCTCAGCACTAAGGTGTGGGATCCAATGATGTAGAAGAAGGTGGCAAAGATGAGGAGGGAGCTCATGGAGCCACATATGAGAACAGTCCCTGGGATAGGGACACAAGCTGAAGCCAGGGCCAGCAATGGCCCCAAGTCACATAAGAAGTCATCAATAACATTTGGACCACAGAATGGTAGCTGAGTGACAAGAACTACTGGGGCCAAGAACCAGAGGAAACCATATGCCCAACAAAAGATGACCAGGTTACTGCAGAATTTAGTGGTCATGATGGTGGGGTAGTGCAGTGGGTGGCAAATGGCTAAGAAATGATCATAGGCCATGAAGGAAAGAAATAAGCACTCTGTGGTACCCAGGGAAAAGACGTATAACTGGAGAAGATATCGAGTAAAGGGAATGGCTTTGGTTTTAGATAGGAAATTGGCCAGCATGTTGGGCACATCAGAGTTGACATAGCAGATCTCTAGGAAGGAGAAGTTGACCAGCAGCAGGTACATGGGAGTGTGGAGCCGGAAGTCCCAGTATACACAGACAATGGCCATGTTTCCAAGGATAGTCAGAATATAAGTCACAGAGAATAGACAAAAAATTAGCACCTGGATTTCCCAGCAGCTAGGAAAACCCAGGAGGATAAACTCAGTTACTGTGTGAGAAACGTTCCTGGCCTCTGAGAACATTTCCTCCTAACCTGTGAGGGGGACAAGAATGATTAGCTCCCCCATCATTTTATGTTTGTTGTTTCCTATTCAGTAAGTCAGAGACATCTAGTGTCTTAGTGGGAAAGAATAGAACTGAGCTTTTCTGAAAAGTTAGCATGTGATCTACAAGTCATTCTTTGAACCAAGAAGTAAGCTGAATGGTTCCTAGACTACTGTAAACAAAAGTAAGAGCCTTGTACTTTGGGGGATTCTCTTTCACTGAGTAGAATTTAGTTCTGAAAGAGACTATTGAAACCATTTAGTCTTATCCCCTGTAAGAATTGGGGAATGTTCTAAATACTTTACAAAAAAAATGAACAAAAGGTTCTCCCTTTGTTTTCGTTTACACCCATTCAAGAGAATTACTGATACCTTCCCAGGTAAGTAGTGAAGAGAGGAGAGTATTAATAATAATATCTAGCATTTATATAGGGTTTGCCTTCATAAATCTCATTTGATCCTCAAAATAGCTCAGTGAGGAAGATGCTATTACTATCTCTATTGTACAAATTAGAAAACTGAAGATAAGTGACTTTCCCAGGGTCACGGTGTTAAGTGTGGCAAAATTGAACTCAGGTCTTCATAAATCTAAGTCAAACACTGAATCTATTGAACAACCTAACTACCTTACGCTAACTGGCCTGTAGAATCCCTTTAAATGTAACATTTGCCTAGAAAACAGCATGACTCTTTATATTGCATGCTTAGAGGCTGTCTAAATCAAAGACATCATTTCAATGAGGTACATTGAAGCTTCTTTCCAATGTAACTGGTGATGATCACAGGCTGGTTTTCCCTATAGGCCTCAGTTTGGCAGGGCCTCTCCTGGAGTTTCCCATGATATATTAAATGTAAGCTTATTCCTCATTCAATAAAAGGTCTTTCTCCTACCATGCTGTGGTTCTTGCTGCCATGATTCAAATCCTCCTTTAGTTAAAAATGGCAAATAGTGACAGGATCTTGAGGTTTCCAGGGCTAGACCATTCTGCTTTTCATAGCAGAAAGAGGGAAATGGGGAAAGGAAAATTCTTATAAATAAAAAAAGAGGGAGGTGATACACAAATTGGCCCTAGTTTTTGTCTGTTCATAGGTAAAGTCCTTTCGCAGTATGGCAAAGACCCTCGTATAGTCTGAGCTAGAGGAAGTTACAACTTTGTCAGGCAACGTGTGGGTCAGGGCAGGAGTAGGGTTTGGGAGGCCAGGCAGAACTGTAAGGCAGAAAGGGATCTGGCATGAGTCCTATTTCTTTCTGCCACATTAGTGATCACTTGCTCCAAGCAGAGGCTAAGAGCCGACAATCACAGGCAGTGTGGGCCCATGTTACAGGGCCCAAAGTAGAGGAATTCAGGATTTAGAAATGGAGGTTGGTAGAGTAGATGGCAGAGAAATATCTAGGCTTCGTTCTGCCACTAGAATGAATATTTGCCCCAAGTAGGAGCTTTTTTGTTGTTCAGTTACTTCAGTTGTGGGGTTTTCTTGGCAAAGATACTGGCATGGGTTGCCATTTCCTTCTTCAGCTCATTTTACAGATGAGGAAACTGAGGCAAACAGGGTTAAGTGATTTGCTCACGGTCACACAGCTAGTAAGTGTCTGATGCCAGATTTTAATTCAGGAAGATGAGCCTTTCTGACTCCAGGCCCAGCACTTTATCCACTGTACCACCTAGCTGCCCTGAGCAGGGGCTGGAGGCAGAGAATTTCAGGGAGATATTGAGGCTTGTAGAGACCAATAGTGCAAACATAGAGAAATAGCAGAGAATACCACAGGGAGAGTGATCAGTGAGGGTAGGGGTGGGAATGAAAAGGATGAAGATGTAGCTGTTAAGGAAAAGGGGGCCCTGGTGAGGTCACTCTCAGACCACCTCCTAGGGCTGTCTGAGATTACACCCAGGCTGAAATGTGGCTGGCATATGTAGGAGACAGGGGTGGAAGTTTGGTGTTCCTAGCTCCACATGAGATGTTACTAATGGGAGGGAAGTGGAATTATCTTTGTAGAAGCCTTGACCACTCAGAAGATGTTTTTCAGTCTTTGCAGAGTTTTGCTCTAAGAATCCCTAGCATGGCTAGAGCTAGGACAGGGGAGTGCTAGCGTACTGATCTGGGGAGAGAACCTCGCTGCCCAACACCCTTTCATCAGGCTAAACTTTTAAATCCTTGGAAACTGCTGGGATGGAGGATAGAGGCTGGCTACAACTCGACATACCTTGCAGAGAACAGATTGGAAGCCATCCTACAAAACCACCTGCCTAAAGCCCAACTGCATCTCCAATACCTCAAAAGAGGAGACAAAAAATTTGCAGAAGATTTTACATAGGATGATATCTTGAGTAAAAAGGGTGTTACTCAGTGTCATCTATAGTGGTAACTGCTGTCTGCAATTGTCAGGAGGACTACCAACACTTGCTCAGTAAGGGAGTGACAGATCTTGAGCCTAGCCAACAAGTGAAACCCCTTCAACTGGAATGACTGCCTGGAGTCATATGTGACTGTCTAGGTGGCACACCCAGGGATGAGCTAAATAAAAGGGCCTACCCTAAATAGGCTCTTTGAAGTCTATGATGCTGGAAAGGGTCCCTTGCAGACTCTCATTTAACCTTATTCTTATTCCATAAAAGTTTGTTTTGTTACCACATTGATTTTTGCTGTCCTGCTGCTCCCACTATAGGAGTCCAAACCTTCATGGGCTATGCCCCATCATTTTATAGATTGGGAAACTGAGTCTATAAGAGGTTAAATGACTTGTCAAAAGTCACATAAGTAGTAATTTTCAGAGACAAGATTTGAAGTCAAGTCTTCTTTCTCTAGAAGTGCTTTTTCTAATATACTATGATGTAGGTGTCTGGATTGTGATACAGGTAGATAACCATTACTGGAGAAAAAAATGATTTAACAGGTTTCTGAGACTATGGATTGAATTGTACCAGTGCTGAGAACAGTGGTCCACACAAAGCTGACATTAAAATGTGTTTGTTGAATTTAATTGGATTAAACAGATTAAACAGGTTATTGTATGGTAACCAAGCACTTTGAATCTGAAAAGCACAGTGGTAGATTATTTCTTGTGAATTTGTTAATGATTCACCCCCATTCTGTTCCTATAGATGTGAGAAGATCCCAAAATTAGATGCTGTGTTTAGAGAGACATCTCAGGTGTCCACACCAGCACAGAGTGTCTCTTTGAGACCTATTTGATGGGAGCATGCATTTTGTCACTGGATCTGACTTTGAACCTTGGCTTTGCCACTTTCATCACCCAATTTGAGAATTACTGGAGCCTGCTCAGGCAGCAGCCATCAGCTTGGTCCTTTACCCAGCAGTGTTTCTACGGCTTTCTTGAGGCTTTGTTGAAAGTCATCCTACCCACTCCCGGGGGGCGGGGGGAGAGGTTATGGGAGACAAAGAAAGGCAAATGAAAAAGTGCATGAGAACTTTTCATCAGTCGCCAAAAGAATCAATGAGAGATGTTGACTACACGAGGATCACACTGCTTGTGTGTCTTGAGGCAGGCAAAAGATTAATGGGATCAAATTCAGCTAACTTGGCCAGGAGTAAGAACCAGGGACCTTTGGGTGAGAAGGATGAGTCAGAGGTCTTTCACAGCTGTCTAACAGAGTCTTCTGGGTTCAAGGAACAGCTGTGGGGCCCGAGTTAAAAAGGTAGAAATGTATTAAATATCTCAAGTACTCCAAACCTAAAAGCAGCTAGGTGGCACAGTGAATAGAGTTCCAGGCCTGAAGTCATGTAGACACATATTCCTCAGTTCAAATCTGGCCTTACTGGGGTATCATTCAGTTTCAGAAGCTGAGACCTTTGCCCTTTTCACAAAAGGAATTTGGGCTCCCATTTGTTTACAGACCCTGGAAGACCCTTAAACTTTTAGATTCCTTATAGAATCCCCTTATCTCCCTTTGAAAGCCTTAGCCCTGCCTTTTGATCTTATTCAGATGCACCTTTGCCCCTAGCCCTAAAAAGAATCTGGCTTCCATTTGTCTAAGGGTCCCAGAAAACCCCTAAAACTTTTAGGTTCCTTATCTACTCCCCTTATCTCCCTTTGAAAGCCTTAACCCCACCTTCTGATCCTTTCAAACTTCTACCTTCCAGTTCCCTTCATTATCTATTCCCATTATTTATTCAATCTCTCAAACCTTCCAATTGGAATTCTCATCTTGACCCTTTTCCCAGCTCCCTCCTCTGGCCACCCAAAGTTACTTTAGTGTAGAAAAGATCCACTGTGGCCCCCATTCAAATGCTGAGATTTTCTCATGCCCAAAAGGCTGAGACTGTCTCATGCCCTCCCTTCCCTATGGACGTTACTAATCTTCAGGTTCCATAAGAGTCTGGCCTATATGTTTTATTTCTAATAAACTTTTTCTCTGGCTGGAAAAAAGATTTGAGTTGAATTCATTCACGCAGGGCCCGGCATCACAATCTTGGGGTGCCTCTGTACATGTAGGAGCACCCCAAAACCTCTAGACCTCTTCATGTGGTTCCCTGACCGGGAAATAACTGCCAATCTCAAACTCTTCTCCAGCCACAACTGGAAGGTACATAAACCTCCCCCTCCCCAACTCCTTTGTTGTCTTGTGGCTGGGAGGGGGATTTCCAAGCACCTAGGTAGGCTTGGCTTGGAAGTGTTTTCAGTCCTGACCTATCAGGTCCTGCTAGGTCAGACCGCTATGAGGCTGTCTCAAACTCTGCCTGACGCTCTCAGGCTTTTGGTCCAATGTTTCTGTTTGAGCACTTGGATCTGGGTATACCTTCCTTAGCATAGAGGATGGATTCCCTATCAGGAAGCGTAGGTCCAATCCTCTCAGTTCTCTCGGCGCTAGGGAATTGGGAAACTCTTGGATATTTTTTTCTTTTTTTCTTTTTCTTTTTCCCTAAGCCCACCATGGGTCAATCCTCTTCAATTCCCCAGAATTCACCTTTGGGCTGTCTTTTACAAAACTAGAAAAATTTTAGCTTCTCTAAAGGACTTA